AATGTAATGACAAATGTATGACACGTTTTCAAACATTTCTGTCTCTCCGCAGTCCTCATTTTTGTTGAAAGCAAATCACAATAGGACTGAGTTGTTTGCAATATAGACTTTAGTCTTATACTTGGCCCCATTATTTGCATAAAGTGCAGCAATAATTTTTTTTTTTTTCTTTTTGAGATGGAGTCTTACTCTGTTGCCTAGGTGGGAGTGCAGTGGCATGATCTCAGCTCGCTGTAACCTCTGCCTCCTGGATTGAAGTGATTTTCCCACCTCAGCTTCCTGAGTAGCTGAGACTACAGCCACATGCTACCACATCTGGCTAGTTTTTGTATTTTTAGAAGAAATGGGATTTCAACCATGTTTGCGAGGGTGGTCTTGAACTCCTGACTGCTAGTGATCTGCCCGCCTCGGCCTGCCAAAGTGCTGGAATTACAGGTGTGAGCCACCATGCCCAGCTCAAATAATTAGTTTTACATAGGCCTTTTAGATTGGCTTTGATGGAACTCTGTTCCCCAAGGAATCTCAGGACTTTCTAAAGCCAAGTCCACAAGTGAGTGTGTACCCTCAAATACCTGTTAGTGGGTAAACTCCTCTCTTCTTAAGGTCCCAAGAATGTGGTGTTCCTAGGCCTCTTGGAAAGTGACATTCTTTACTCACCACAGATTAAGAAACCTGTACAGGGACTGTGTAGACAAGCTATGAGGCCAATTTTCCCAAGGGCTTTATTAGCTCTGCAAGTAGAGCTTGACTTCTTAAAGGGAAGCATACCCTTCCAGTCAAAACCTTGGTAAAACAACCAGTTTCTCCAATTGCATCCTGTTGCAAAAGAAAATGGATTCTTGCCGCACTGATACAAACAACCATATTACCATAAGTTAAGAATACTCACAACTGGTTTCCAAATTCTGGAGGAGTGAGGCAGAAAGACAAATATGCTCCAAATTTTGTTCACAGGATTATACTTTAATTATTAAAGGCCACGAATAACTCAAAATAAGTTTCCTTTGACTCTGAAAAACAAGGATCAGCAATGTTCCAAGCAAAAGTCAAAAAGATTACTTTGGTCTTCTATTAGTTCAGTTACCTCTTGTTTTGTTTGATATTTGTGAACATGTCAACTCTCCATGAGTCGTGCACATTTTTCCTTTATTCCAATGTCACAATTTCCCAAGTTATCAGAAATCTACATTTGAAAGCACCTGTCAAAGTTATGTAGCTGATTATAAACCATCTTTTGAAGAGGATCAAAACAAGACAATTGTCTGTGAGTAATGAAATATCCAGGGTAGTTACAGTCAGAAACACAATTGAAAAAGAAATTTAGTTATCTCCATAGTTTACAACAACATAACAACCTTGTGATTGATAGCACATATTCAGACATTAGAATTTTAGAAATCCTATACAATTTTGGAAGATAATATTATTCCCCAAGATATAACCTGAAGAAGATTAAACATCATTTTGGCAATACCATGTATCTAAACATGTCAGATAGTCCTGTTTATCTCTCTTCTGTATGCTCCAGGGGCCCTCTGTAGCATCCAGAAATCCAGGTGTCAGCAAAGACAGTTTCAAAACTGAAGTTTGATTTTGGCAAGGCTGTTAGAGGGTCAGAACACTTGATGTTATGAAATAGAATTCCAGATTATCATAAGTTATTTTGCCAAAGTGATGACTCAGAAATTTTTGAAAAAGCATAAACCTTTTATAACCCCTTAAAATTATTGCCAAAGAGATTAGTGCCTTCAGAGTACTTTGTTGTGCTTTTATTTCAGTGCTCAATTTGCAAAAAAAAAAAAAAAAACCCTATTATACCCTTTTGAATTTAGTTAATATGTTCACACATGGAATTTATTTGGCAAGATGAATTTTTACGATCCTTTAACAACTTGTTTGAACTTTTAGCTTTATCTAATTCAAAACAATCCTTTAACGCAGGCAAAATTTTACATTTTGACATCTGCATTTTACCAATAATCTTTAGGCCAATCCTATTTCTCAAAGATTAAAGTCATATGAGCTAAAAGATACCTCAGCTTTTATCTTCCCTTTCAATATTTGATCCAAGTACCTATCCTTCTTTAAGTTAATTAGAGCTCCTTTTATAGACCACACATATAATACGTATATAACCACACGACACAGGAAAACCCAGTAGCCATAAGATTTTTTGTTTGCCAGCCTCCTAATTGGATTATTTGCCTCCAGGTTGAGCCCATAAAGAGACAGGGTTAGAAAAACATGCAGCTTCTAAGGCCTAATAAACAGGCATAACTGGGGGCAAAACCAGATATTAGGAGGGATCTATTCACTTTTAATTCCTGGGGTCTCATGAGGAAAACAGAGGACTTTCCTCTCATCATGCAAGCATTAAGGGTGGCAAGGCAAAATGAAGATAAATAACTCAGTTGACTAGAAAAAGCCCTTTTCTGGCAAAGCAAGATCCAGGAAGGAAAAAACATAAAGGCCTTGTAAATATACCTACAATTTGGATGTCCACCTTTAATTAAGCTGAGTGCTCTTTAAGGAAATTCTTTTAAATCCCTTGTTGTCTGACTTTAGCTGCACCAAGTGGTCAGTATTTCTGGCTTTCAGACTTTACTAAAGGCTCAGAGAAAGGAATATCCAAGGCAGTTCGTGGAAAGGAAGAGAATCAACAGATAGCAAAAGTCACATCGATATTAAACCAAAAAGAGCTCTTTCCCTAAGCCAGGATTGAACCTGGGCCGCCATTGTAAAATGGCAGAGGAGAATCAAAGCACTGCCAAGTGATTACCAGTCACACATCCAAGGATGTACAATAAGATGGAGGCTGCAGCAAAGTTTGCTTCTGATCGTACAGAAAGGCATGCAAACCACACCAGATTGGCTACAGCTTAAGACCAACCTCGCAAATCCTTCTTCATAATTAAAAACTTACCGAGAAATAAACAGTGATCCTTTTTCCTGGCCTGGTAAAACATCATCTGGGAAAAACAGAAACAAAAAAAACTCACTTTAAAGTTACAGTTAACTCCTGACCTGGTAGAGGAAAAGGAAAAGACAGCTTAAATGCAAGGTTGTGTTAACTACTGACAGGGCGGGGAAAAGAAAAAGATGCCTGGGCAAGAACTTATCATTCTTTTTTTTTTTTTTGAGACAGAGTTTCGCCCTTGTTACCCAGGCTGGAGTGCAATGGCGCGATCTCGGCTCACCGCAACCTCCGCGTCCTGGGTTCAGGCAATTCTCCTGCCTCAGCCTCCTGAGTAGCTGGGATTACAGGCACGCGCCACCATGCCCAGCTGATGTTTTGTATTTTTAGTAGAGACAGGGTTTCACCAAGTTGACCAGGATGGTCTCGATCTCTCGACCTCGTGATCCACCCGCCTCGGCCTCCCAAAGTGCTGGGATTACAGGCTTGAGCCACCGCGCCCGCAAGAACTTCATTCTTATGCCATGGTTCTGTGACAGGGAGAGCGCCGTGGTGGGGAATGCTGGCCCACGTGCCACACCGGGCCTTTTGGCCAGAGCCACCGCGGGCTATCTTGAAAAAACAAGGAAAAGGCCAACATTCCCGATTCCTGGAAGCGACAGGAGTTGAGGGAAGGCATAATTTCCTCTAACCTCAGAAGTAGTCTGAGGACAAAAAGGCTTAGAAACGAAAGGGAAAAAGATTTTTTTGGTTTGCATCTTACCCTTCCTCATGCCCCACATTCGGGCACCAAAAATGATGCAGAACTTTGTACCTTATTTCAGCTAAAACTGACTTTTTGTCACACGACCAGGAAGGATTGGAAACGCACTGAAGGACACTTTGAGGGGAGTGGAATTTATTGGGCAAAAAAGGAAAAGAAGAAAAATAAACATCCAGCAAAGTGAGAGGGGGTCCCTCTAACAGGCCCCCATCTCACAGATTGAATACCAGGCCACCGTATGGGAACTGAAGAGGCCAGGCTCCTTCCCCGCGCGAACTTTCCATGGCTCCATCCCGATTCCCAGTGCGCTGGCAGGTCGGAGAATCTCCGGAGACCCTCCTTTTTATCTGCCTCTTGCATCTATCATTACCATATTGTAGCATATTTAATGTTTTGTGAAAAATTTCAGTTGCAACCTAGCATTTTCTGTTTTATAACAAATTTGAAGAATAAATTCCTTTATTCATGTGTGAGCATTTGCCTTTTTCTGAATTATTTATGGCCTTCTATTCCTAACCAGACTAACAGAGCATTATTTTCTGGGCCTTTAATATACTTTGTTATGGCAGTGACTACAGTGGGATTTTATTACAGAATTTCACCTCGTTTTCAAATTGCTTCGTTTTGTACAATTTAGCTCTTCTCTTATTTCTCTCAGAACATAGTTAAGGGCTTAATAATTTACTTCTTTATTTGCTGGCCCTCTTTTCATAAAAATACTACAAAAATCCACCAAATGGCAAACAAATGAGCTGAGGGGAAGAGATGATGCCTTAAAAAACTCCTTCCTTGAACATGAATAGACTTTATTTTCACCAGTCCCAGAATTAGAAATATTTCTCTCTAATCTGCTGAGAGGTAGAAGGAAAAGAATGATCATCAAAATAAGCATAGGGTAAAGAGCTAACCCTGGTACTCACAGGACCATGGTCCTGGTAAAAACTGTATAAATAAACGGGTCTTTTTGGAAGGTTGAGTGTGCTTAGGAAGCGCTTTATTATCATGGAGGAAAATCTGTCTCTTTATTAAAGTTGTAGAACAGCTTCCTTCCCATAGCCTCAAAACTGAAGACTGTTCAAGGCAAGGTTAGCCATGGCTTGCTTAGAGCTTCTGGAATATAGAGAGTCCTACCTACTCTTTAGATCTCTCTGATAAGAATAAAAAAATACTTCCTGTATAAAGGTTGCCATTTAGGTAGTGTTCATTTTAGCTGACATTGTCATGATTTATTCCGTTTTTGTGTATTGAGACAATTTGTCTGCAAAGTTTTTCCAAAGGTTTTTTAACTGTGATAGATGTGATAGTTAAACTTTGGTGTTGCAGAGCCTGTGAAGCCACCTGGCAGCTCCTTACAAGCACCAGCTGATTTACCTTTAGCTATAAATACAGCACCACCATCCACCCAGGCGGATTCATCTTCTGCTACTCTACCTCCTCCGTATCAGCTAATCAACGTTCCGCCACACCTGGAAACTCTTGGCATTCAGGAGGATCCTCAAGACTACCTGTTGCTCATCAACTGTCAAAGCAAGAAGCCCGAACCCACCAGGTAAGTCATACATGCCCATGTGAGAGACAGACGGAGGTGTGTGTATATGTGTACACATTAAGATTCTTATCTTTAAACTTTTTAAACCTTGACTTGCAGGTTTGAAAGAAACCATCTATATAGGCATATGTTTCAGGCTTATATTTCAGGTTTACCTTCCCCTATTGATTTCCGATATTCAGGAGATTGTATTGAAGAGACACAATCTCTGCCATCTTTGGCAAAGAACAGTTTTCCCTACCAGGCTCTTTTGGAAATCTGTCTACTATTTTGTAGTCTTTGTTACAGACTCACAGTATTACTTGCTTAACAGATTTCACTGATTTATAAATGGTGATCTTGCTCCATTTCTTATGTGATTGTAAACCAGCCAAGGGTCATCTTTTGTTTCTGAAGAAGGAGAGGAATACCTACTACTAGAAGATTTTGAAAGCAAAACGATTCCATTGCAGTGAGTGTGTTGTGGTTGTTTTGGATCTGTGTGAGAAATTAATCATACAGGTAAAATCCCAATATGGTAAATTCCATGGAATATACAAATTGGATGTTAGTGAAATTTGATCAAATAAATATATTCCTAAAAATTATGAAATGTTTAGTCTTCATAACTAGCAGTGAAGCAGAGCTTACCCTAAGCCTTTTTATTTACTTTTTTTTTTTAAACAGACAAGGGCTTGCTCTGTTCCCCAGGCTGGAGTGCAGTGGCACCCTCATAGCTCACTGTAACCCCAAACTTCTGGGCTCAAGCATTCCTCAGCCTCCCAAGTAGCTAGAACTACAGGTACATGCCATCACACCTGGCTAATTTTTTAACTTCTTCATAGAGATGAGTTCTCACTATCTCAAACTCCTGGCCTCAAACAGTTCTCTCGCCTCTGCCTCCTAAAGTACTGGGGTTGCAGGTGTGAGCCACTGCACTTGGCCTCTCTTTACAGATTTTTAAGTAGACGTATATGGAGTGCAGCATTGACTGAAGGAATCATAAAGCCTTTCCCAAATTCTTGGTTTCGCTAGCATCGCCTTCCCTACTCCCTTTCCTCTTCTAAGCTATAAGGCATTTTAATTGGATCCTCTTTGTTACCTGACGGTGAGTAGTTGGCAGAGTTAAGGCGATAAAAAGAGCCAAGAAGCAATTGTTTTACTGTTTTTAAAAGGAGCAGAAAAATAATGATTGAGAGGCCAATCTCTGCCATTAATAGCTATGTGACAATGAGTGATATCAGTCAATTGAGTATATTTTATTTATTTATTAATCAGCTGGGGTCTGGATAGAGAGTGTATTTCTTTATAGACAGACAAGAAAAATGTTTTTTTTAAAACCAGATTATAATTAAGCATTATTTTATGACAAAAACTTTTTTTTTTAAATGTAGAAAGTGATTGTTAATGGGCTAGGATTCAGACAAAGCAGTTTTTCAAACATTTTAATGTGGAATTTGTGGAGATTCACAAAATAGTTTCTGTGAACCTTGCCCTGAGATGGTGGAAACAGCTCACATTCATTCCAAAGCTGGGTTTCTATGTATTTGTTGTAATGGGATTTTACCTGTAAGAGCAGAAAAAAAATGTATAAATCAACATTTGTTAATAATATCAAATTCTAACTTGATTTTGCTTGTTTGCTGTGAGAATTTAAAATTATATACTGGCAACTTTGTTACCTATGCTACTAACTAAGATTTTATTTTACGAAATTTCACAATTTTTCAATAGCAACTTTTAAAAAGCCAACAGCTAAGTGACAGATCTCAGTATATTTTATTTTATTTGTTTATTTTTTTAGAGACAGAGTCTCACTCTGTCACCCAGGATAGAGCGCAGTGGCACAATCTCGGCTCACTGCAACCTCTGCCTTCCGGGTTCAGGTGATTCTCCTACCTCAGCCTCCTGGGTAGCTGGGACTACAGGCACGTGCCACCACACGTGCTAATGTTTTGTGTTTTTAGTACAGATGGGGTTTCACTGTGTTAGCCAGAATGGTCTCAATCTCCTGACCTCGTGATCCACTGCCTCGGCCTCCCAACTTGCTGGGATTACAGGTGTGAATCACCACACCCAGCCCCTATTGTATTTTTATAGTGTATTTCATTGATTTCACTGGTATTACAGCTTTCCTCTTGCAGTACAACTTATGCTCAAAATCATCACCCAGATGTATTTTGTTAAAGTGACAAGTTAAATAGCAAATACATATGAGGTAACCACTATGTGCCCAATATTATGCGAGGTACCATGAAGGTACAAACTAATTCTGTAAGATACAGTTTACTCAGATATAGTCACCTTTGGAACGTACAAGTAAGATTTGTTAAGAAGTAAAAACATGCAAGCATTAAATATTTATAGATGAAGATAATATATGAGAGTTGCCTTGCAAACTCGTGTTTGTTCTGCAAGACTTTGCTTAGAATGTGCTCCTCTAGGAAGCATTCCTCTCAAACTCCCAAGTTGGCTTAAATATCTTTCTGGGTTTTTATAGCATCCTGGTTATGCCTTTATATCTTGTTTTATCGCAATGCTAGAAGCAGCTCGATGTTTTTACTTAGTCTTCACTAACTGTGAGCTAGTCAGAGCAGGGAGCTTTGCTTATTACTCATAATTCCTCTAGCTTCTCTTAACTCTGCATTTGAATTAAATAAAGTACAAATTTTTGAATATGCAAAGCTGCATTAGAAATTCCACGGAGGGACAGTGCAAGTGTTTTTAAGATGGAGGAAACAAAAGCTTCATAGGAAGAGTAGGATATGAACTACACCTGGTTGGTGAGAGAAGAGAAGAAAATCATTCGTAATTTGCGCAAAAATAGCTTGAGGGAAAAGAGAGACCCGAGTGAGCTGGTGGGAGGAAGATAATGAGAAGGAGAGCCTCTTAGAGGAAAGGGTTTGATTTGGAAGTAGTAGGACGTAAGATAGGATGGAGGTGGAGCCAGATTATTTGTAGCCTCAATGTCAAGTGGTTTCGTGTGAGGCCTTATAGTTCCCACACCCTGTAGGGGGCCCTTACTAGGTTTTTTTCTTGGAATACATGAGTGGTATAACAACTGTGTTTTGAAAATACTGACCTTGTAGAAGTCTGGCTCCATGAATAGATTGGAAGAGGCAGAAAGTAGAGGAAATTCCACTAAGGAGAGTTCAGTCATGTAGATCTCAGCAGGGACAGGGACCTGAACTCGGGATGGCGGCAATGGAAATAGAGCAAGGGAGTAAGCGTGTGGCTAAGAAGAAGGGTTTGGTGCCTGCATGAGTGGGGATCAAAGAGAAGTAATCAAGCTACTTGGGTTTTGAGCCTAGAGAATCTGGATAAAGTAATTTATTTCATGCAAGCCAGGAAAAGCAGTCAATTTAAAAAGTAAATGAATTTCAATTTGAGGCACAAAGCAAGGTAATAGTGGAGTATCCAAGCAGAAATATCAGTTTGAGAATATGGGACTGGGAAGTTGGTAAGATGACAGAAGTTGTCAGCATTCAGAGAAGAAAATGAAGTTCTAAAAAGGAGGATGATCTCTAATGGCATGTGTGGTAAAAGGCTAGAGGCCTGAACTCTGTTGGCCATTTCCAGGCAGAGAGACGGGAAGAAGGAGCCAGTCAGTGAAACAAGGAAATTATCAGTGAGGGAGAAGGGTTTTAAGATGGAGGCTTTTAAGATGTTTTTAAGATGAAGAAAACAAAAGCAGTGTGGGTTTTCTGATAGTAAAGGAGGAGACTTTACAGTGCATAGTGCCAGTTGTTACTAAGAAGTCTGGGAAAGTAAGCCCTTTAAAAAAAAACTATTATGGTTATTTAAATAAATATTGTTTAAACTCCTATAGGACTAGAAACATGCAGAAGTAGTCCAGGTGTCTTGTTTAGCATTAAGGAACTGAGAGTGTGCTTCTGTTGTTAGATTCATTTTGTCCTATACCCACATTTTGTGATAACCTCAAAATGTAGAGGCTGAAAATGTAAGTAAATGTACTTTAATGAGATTTCTCAAAGTGAGTTATTGTTTGGAGTTGATTAACTCTGTATCATGTATTTTGATCCTCTTTGTAATGTTGGCTAAATATTTGTTTAAAGTAGTGAAAAGGAAGATACGTGAAAACAATGAGATGTCACCTTCTTGTAGGTCAGATTGACTTTATTCAATACCAAGTAATCGTTAGACCTTTAATTTTACAAAATGACAAATTTGCCACGGGGAGGTTTAAGACAAATGGATCAACTTTATAAACTCTACTAGCACTAGGTTTCTGCATGCTCTTCAGAGGAAATGCTTTTCCTTGTGTCTATGCATTAATCATTGACCTTTCCCAGAGTTTTGTAACGTTTAATTCCAGTGCTTCAGGGATTGTGTTTTTATGTGCAGATTTAATAGGTGGAGTTGGGGGTGTGGGCAGGTATAGGACGGAATTAGGAAGAATGCTTTTGTTGGTTTTGTGGTGGTGGTTTTGTTGTCTGGTGTCTAATCATAAAAACTGTAAATTTAAAACATTTTTGCTTTAAATCCTATGGATCATGCAAAAAGTCTAATGAGAAAAGCCCTATCTTTTGATTGCTAAGCTATAAATATGTTTATCAAAAATGTATTCTTATGTCTTCACCTTGTTTATTCTGTCATTAACAATTTTTATTTAGAACACACACTGATTCTGCGAAATCCACCTCTTCTGAAACAGACTGCAATGATAACGTCCCTTCTCATAAAACTCCTGCTTCCTCCCAGAGCAAACATGGAATGAATGGCTTCTTTCAGCAGCAAATGATATACGACTCTCCACCTTCACGTGCCACATCTGCTTCTGTAGACTCCAGCCTTTATAACCTGCCCAGGAGTTATTCCCATGATGTTTTACCAAAGGTGTCTCCGTCAAGTACTGAAGCAGATGGAGAACTCTATGTTTTTAATACTCCCTCTGGGACATCGAGTTTAGAGACTCAAATGAGGCATGTATCTATTAGTTATGACATTCCTCCAACACCTGGTAATACTTATCAGATTCCACGAACATTTCCAGAAGGAACCTTGGGACAGACATCAAAGCTAGACACTATTCCAGATATTCCTCCACCCCGGCCACCGAAACCACATCCAGCTCATGACCGATCTCCTGTGGAAACGTGTAGCATCCCACGTACGGCCTCAGACACTGACAGTAGTTACTGTATCCCTACTGCAGGGATGCCGCCATCACGTAGTAATACCATTTCCACTGTGGATTTAAACAAATTGCGAAAAGGTCAGCTTTAGTTGACTTCTTCTCTATTAGAGGTTGATGATAGAAAATCGATTTGTCTGAATATTTGTTCTTTTGAGCGTAGTTAAATATACTGCGTTACAAGATATAGTCCATTTTTTTCAGCTCTACAGTTACCTGGAAGAGTATATGTGCATTCATGCTCTGCTGGAAGGGAGAAAGCCTTGGAGTTTTTCACCCCTGAAGAAGTATGGCCTTCGTAATGCCTTCCTGCTTCAGGAAGTGTGTCCTTCTCTCTCCCACTTTCTATAATCCTGAGTGGATAGGCCCTCTGTTGGGACAGAAGGGCAGGAAATGGACCAGCCACAAAGCCTCTCCAAGTCATACCCTTTCCTGTATTTGTGTGCCATTATGGCCGCTTCTAAGTCACATCTGTTGGGCTCTATTTCCTTCCTTCCTATATAAGCAGTTTTTATGTTGTGTCTAATAGGTGATATTCTGTTCCTGTCTAGCCATTATACTTTCTGTTTATTTTATTCTTACTTGTGTTTAAAGAGCTGAATCTTCTCTCCCCTTATCACTACCCATTTCACTGATTGCTAGTGGATATACTTTCCTATACCATCTCTTAGAATCTGTAACCAAAAGTTACAGACCTTGAGAGGAGAAAAAAAAAAATGAGTCTCAGTGATACTGAGATTCTCAAAGTCCTAAAAATAGAAAACTAAAGTTTTTAATGCACAGATCCTAAATGCTGTGTGCTAAAATTTCTGTATTTTGTGGTAGAGTTTTCCAGCTGTCTTCAAAGAGATAAATATTTAATGTATTTGTGGTTATTACTTAAATCAGTGCTTATTTAGCCATTCAATAACAATTTTTAACTCCTTTCTCGAAGTGACTGTATAGCCTGATTATAAGTTAGTGAGATGTAAGTTGGGCCCAAGGTGATGCAAATGATGAGAAAATTGAGGTGTTTCTCTTCATCTTTAGATAACCTGTCTTATCCCAGACTTAGACATTCACTCACACTCAAAATCAGATATTGGTATTGGTTAGCATATGAGTGAGTGTCTGCATTTTCTAGTGGTTTAATATGCCAATTTCAAGATACAATGCTGTGAGCATTCTTTTTAAAATCTCTCTGTGTGTGTGCATGTGTGTATAAAGAGAGAAAGATAATAGGTCATCCTGATGACCCTGAGTGCTGGCAAAGATAGGAAGAAATGTTGATAGTTTCTTCTTTATTTTAGATGCTAGTTCTCAAGACTGCTATGATATTCCACGAACATTTCCAAGTGATAGATCTAGTTCACTTGAAGGCTTCCATAACCACTTCGTAAGTATAATTGATCTTGGCATCAAGTGTATTTCATTGTCTAAATCTTCATAATTTGTGCTATGAGACCAAGTGAGATCATGAAATAAAATTATGCTGAGATCCGTATGAATGGACATGACTTACAGTTCTGTTTTCATGTGTGACAAGTTTTTGTTTATTAAAATAAATATATGTGTGTTTTAGAAAGTCAAAAATGTGCTGACAGTGGGAAGTGTTTCAAGTGAAGAATTGGATGAAAATTACGTCCCAATGAATCCCAACTCACCACCACGACAACATTCCAGCAGTTTTACAGAACCAATTCAGGAAGCAAATTATGTGCCAATGACTCCGGGAACATTTGATTTTTCCTCATTTGGAATGCAAGTTCCTCCTCCTGCTCATATGGGCTTTAGGTCGAGCCCAAAAACTCCTCCCAGAAGGCCAGTTCCTGTTGCAGACTGTGAACCACCCCCGGTGGATAGGAACCTCAAGCCAGACAGAAAAGGTAAGGAGAGCATGGCAAAGGAAAAGGCTTGGGGAGTGCCAACTTAGATCTATTTTTAACTGCCATTAAATCCAAAACAGAATTCAGACTAGAAATTCTGAAATGTTTCTTAGTTCCATAGCCGTCAACTTTTGCAAAGCAGTACTGCCATTTATAAATGAACGATTTATAAATGGTTAAAGTATTTTGTAGTTCCATAGCCATCAGTAAGCAAAGCAGTACTGCCATTTATAAATTAACGATTATTATATCACATGTTGATGTGAGGTGATATTTGTGTCTTCTATCTCTAGAGCAGAGGTTACAAGCTAAAATACCCATAGGGATTAGTGGACAACTAGGGAGAATTAGAAGAAACTGGACTTCCCTAGCCCCATCTAATGGGAATAACTAACCTACTTGGCTACAATCCTTTGTTGACTCGTGGAATTATGCACCCATACAGGCAAGTCTTCTGGTATATGAGGAGAAGCCAGAGATTTTGGATTTTATAGATATTATCTCTCGATTTTTAAAGTTCTATCAACTAATTTAATTATTTTTAAGAAAACATTGCAGGTGAACCCAAACACTACTGCAAGCTAGATAATGGCCTTTAGCTGCTATTTAGTAACCTCTTCTCTAGAGTATATAATATCAAATCAGTCTTAAGATTATTAATGCATTTGACATAATTATTTTAGAACAGTGAGACTATATAATCTTGCCATTCTGTTTGTATAACAACTTCTTAAGTTACTTTGCCTTTGCTGGGGTCTAAATAAATGCTTCTAGTCTATCATTTTTTTTTTTCATGCTGGCCTTCATAAGTAACATCGACTTCTAAGGTAACATAGTTTGTTAAGAATTCTGCAGAAGAAACTGTTGAGCCAAATTGAATAATATCTACCCAGGATTTTATAATTTGGGTTTAAGTGGTTAAAACATAGACAATTTGATTTGTTGCACCATGCTGTAGTGTGACTTAATCTTGACAACCAAGTAAAGTAGCATAAATGTGAAATGTGATGAATGATACAATATCTGGCTTACTTCAGGGTGTTTCAGCACATGCGAAAAGTCTCATGTGCTAGATGTAGCTTTTTAAGACCACATAATGTTTGCATCAATTTCTCATTAACCTGGGCTTAGATCATTAACATTAGTTCTAATTATTAAGTTCTAGTTGTGAGTCAAAGAGTATCTTAAGAAAAAGGTTTTGGTTTTGTTTATAAGTAAGGATTAATCTCGTTTAACAGGGAGTAAGTAACCTCCTTCAACAAGGTGGTTATCGGGAAGTGAGGCAATTCTAGGGGACTGTTGTTACGTCCTGCTCTTTCTGTGCATTTCTGTTTCTTGGGAAATCTTTGCGTCTGCTTTGTTCTCTTTCACCTTCTTACCTTCTTTTCTGTTTTCTTCCTCAGTATCTTCTACTTAAATGGATTCTGCTTTCCAAGAGCTTTGCCTCCAGTGCTCCTCCTCTGTGGCCTCAGTTCTGCCTCCTAGCTCCTTTTTATGTGCCTTTACAGCTTCTGCATCAGCTTCTCATTCTTACTCACTTTAGATTGCTTAGAGATTATGTGATAGGTCTATGTGTGTCATACCCACAACTACTGAGACTGCCCGGGCAGCAGGGCTGTGATTACGGTGTGGATCTCAGAAAGGATGTGAGCTTCAGAGGCTTTCTCCTGGATCATGTTTCTTTTTGTTTCTCTTTTTCTTTGTCTCTGAATCGTTTTAGACACTACTAGTCATTTTTTTTTGCATATGATATTCAGAAATATGTTTGGACATGTATAGCTTTATAATTGGTTCATGCAGATCACTAAGGGATTGACATACAAGTGTCATGAACTGTTTGAAATATTGAAATATCTTTTTTTTACTGTTAATCTGGTGCTTTGTCTTATTTTCCCATAATGAGTGCATGTTAGTATTAGATGTCTACATTTTAACTCCAAACCTAGCAGTTTTATATTTTGAGGTCTCACATAAATGTGGAGGGAGTAAGATTTGGGTGAGGGCGCAAAGCTCTTAAGTCCCCTCCTTTGTTCCTCTGCTGGTCTTTCCCCCCTTGAGCTCTGTAAAACACAGTTTAAAAACTCCAGCAGTCTGCAAACTTTCTGCAACAGTCTGAACATTAGTTATATTTCACAATTGTGATTCCATGTGGTAAGCATAATATGAAATCAGGAAACATTCCTGTTTATAAGTTAGAAAAGTCCTAAGATCATAATGATTAGCTTTTAGTTTCATGTAGCTCTAAAATCACTCATTTATCCCACATCATTATAACCTATTATATATATATATTACAGTATATACTATGTATCATGTATACTACATATTTTATAATTATACATCTCTATGTATTTAGTGAAAGTACTATTATTCTAGTACACTAGAGATTAATCATACTAGTTCTTTAAGTTAACCTAAAGGAACTTAATAGTAGAACAGAACAAAGTAGGTTCTTAGTTATTTCTGGAGATTGTGTTCATTCTTTTAAAATTGAACTGAACCGTTCAGAGACAATCGTGAGTTCATTGGCCAAATCATTTAGTGTATTTGCTTAGATACAAAATGAAATAAAAAAGAGCACCCAGATTGAAATACCCAGGTGATTTTTGGCAGAATCAAGAATAGGCTTAGAAGAACAGTAAAAAGGTTCCTAAGGTCATAGTATTTAAAAAAAATTGCTTTTCTTTAGTTACTATTCTACTTTTTAAATAGTTATGATACAGGAGAGGAGGCTTGAGAATGTATTTAACATTACAGGGCAAACTTTGTAAACTCATCTTACAAAGTTATATGACTTCATAAACTTACTTTGCAAAGTTACAACTTCAAAAAAAAGTCTTAAAAGCCAAATTCAGATCTCAAAGCAAAGTTTATCCTCAAACACTTAAACTAAAATAATGTCTCATTTTGTCCTATAATTTTTCTCAGTATTTATATCATCAGATAAATCTATTTTAATTTCAAATTTCATGATACCAGATAAATGACTTAATCTATTATTTCAGTATGTCTTATATAAAACTCAATAAGCAAATCTAATTCTATGAAGTATGTTTTGATTAGTTTCAGAGCTCCGTATAACTAATTCATTGCCCAATATGTCTGGTTTTTGAGATTGTCTTTGGAAATATCTACAAGAAATCAGTAACATTCTAGTCTTGTTTATATCCCCAGTGATAGATGTCAGCTGTTGTAGTTTGTGGTACAGATGAGCTTCTCAAATACTTCCGAGTAATTGAAGCTGCAGAAATATATAGATGTTCTGAACACTTAATGTATTGTTATCTTAGACCCTTTGCCTATCACCCAACTCATGATAGCAATGTTTTTATCATACTATTTCTGCCATCATAGTATTTGTTTTGAGCCAAGTTTTGCGTGTACTAAGAGAAGTGAAACATATTTTAAACATACGGTATTAAATATTGGGAAAGCGGATGAGTCACTAGAAATGTGGGACAAATTATATTTTGACCTGTTCAATTGAAAATTTTTGTATTTCTGATGGAAAGGGAGTTTTATAGAGTTTGGGAAATTATCTGTTACAGCTTCTCTTTAAGTCATGACATAAATCTATATTTAATCACTAAACTTATCTGAGGCCCCCCATCTCTGTCTAGTCTCTGTCTAGCATGATGCAGCAGCTGTGTGAGCCCCACGTGCCGTCTCTGTGTTGTTATGTTTGACCTTGTCCATTCATGCCTTTCTGCAACAGTCTGAACATTAGTTATTGTACTGACTGTTTTTAAAGCCAGTGTGAGGTTTTGCACGGTGTTTTTACACACCAGTTTGGTTGAAGTACTTTACTTTCAGGCCTTGATCCTTAATATGGTGTGGAGAACATACAGAAGACCAATCCCAGGGGTTTCCCTGGGTGACTCTTTTGGCACAGTGCTGGATTTGCTGTAAACATTTTTTCAAGAGATCCTTCAAAGTTTCTGAATGTGATTAAAAACTAACATGCACTTTTTAAAATTTTTTATTCCTTTTTATTTAAATTTTTATTTTAGATTCGGGGGTGCACGTGCAGGTGTGTTACCTGTGTATGTTGCGTGATTTAGGGTATGAAATGATACCCTATGTTCACTCAGAAACTGAACATAGCACCCAATTGTTAGTTTTTCAACACTTTCCCCCCTGCCTCCTTCCACTCTCTCGTAGTCCCCAGTGTCTCTCGTTGCCATAGTTATGTCCATGAGTACCCAGTGTTTAGCTCTCACTTACAGGTAAGAACATGGAATATTTGGTTTTCTGCTCCTGTGTTTATTTACTTAGGATAATGTCTTCACCTGCATCCATGTTGCTGGAAAGGTCATGATTTCATTCTTTTTATGGCCATGTAGTATTCCATGCTGTGTATGTGCCACATTTTCTTTATCCAGTCCACTGTTGATAGGCACCTAGGTTGATTCCATGTATTTGCTATTGTAAACACCGCTGCAGTGAACATGTGAGTGCATGTATCTCTTTGGTAGAAAGATTTGGGTTTTTTTGGATGTTTACCCAGTAATGGGATTGCTGGATTTCATGGCAGTTCTATTTTAAGTTCTTTGAGAAGTCTCCAAACTGCTTTCCACAATGGCTGAATTAATTTGCGTTCTCACCAACATTGTATAAGCATTTCCTTTTCTCCACAGCCTCACCAGAATCTGTGGTTTTTTGGCTTTTTAATAATAGCTGTTTTGACTAGTGTGAGATGGTATCTCATTGTAGTTTTTATTTGCATTTCTCTGAAGATTAGTGATGCAGTATCTTTTCATACATTTGTTGACCACTTGTATGTCTGATTTTGAGAGGTGTCAATTCATGTCTTTTACTCATTTTTTAATGGATTACTTGTTTTTTGCTTGTTGATGTGAGTTTCTTACAGATTCTGGGTATTAGCCCTTTGTCAGATGCATAGTTTGTGCGTATTTTCTCCCATTTTGTAGGTTGTCTGTTTACTCAATTGATAGTTTCTTTTGCTATGCAAAAGCTCTTTATAGTTTAATTAGGTCTCA